TATATATATACACGTATATATATAGTTCTTTGAAACGTGTATTAGGTTACGGTCATAGAAATAAGAATGCAATAGTTCAGTTGCAAAAACGATTAGCGTAATGTCCAAGGACTTATTGGTTAGGGTTCTGAATCTTGAATTTCGTGTGACCCGAACGACCGTCCTCCTGTTCAAGCTCTGCTATGTATCGTACCGAAATCGTCAGAACGTTCGAAGGCTATAAAATAGGGTTACAGATTTATATTTGAGCAAGATCTGGGTACTATCTCGCGGCCAGATCTCCATGGTAGTAACGGGAACTAATTTCAGGATCCGGAACACTCTGGTTTCGAGCAGGCCGCATACAAACAGCTGTTGAATATGAGTCAATCGTTTTTAAGCTTATAAGGGAATGTGTTTAGTGCCGGCACATAAACACATGGATGGTTCGAAACGTAACCAAGCGTTTACTATGTGTAGAGAAATTAGGACATTTTTAATCAATAACACGTTTACAGTCTACGATATGTGGATTACGAGTACAAGTAGATGCCGACTAATTCAAGGTTTGTTTTTATCTGCAAACCGTGCGCAAACGCGACGTTTGGGGCACATCTCTCGTATTTGTGGCCCATTCTTTTTGCGCCGTCATGTTTAAAGGCACGCCAGGCTGAACTGGAGGCATGCTTTAGGTAGCAGCTTCTCACAACAGCGCAGATATCTTTGTCTCTACCTTTCTGGTTCAGGCACAGGCAGAGAGAAACACAGAGAAAGAGGGTGGCTATGAAGCGGGACTTGGCCTGTGGAAGTTATAGTTAACAGAGCCCTGGTACCTACTCTACCAAGTGCTGGTCGTTAGTGGTTATTGTAACCGTCCTTATGAATCCGCTTCATATTATCATTATTGCCTTAAGGGTACCGCGTCTAAGTGCTCGTTTCCTATGAAACAAACTGCCATTATTGCCGCTGTAATACTACAGGAAACTGACGAAGTTCTGGTTTAGGGGCGCGGTAAACGAAGGCTGCTTCTCTGTAGAATTCCCCGTACACCATCGTTCAAATTAGGTTGCAGACATACGAGCTCTTGCGCAATGAACAGACGGGCCGCTCTGCTCTTAGGGACCGCTAACTGGCGAAGCGAAAAGAAGAGCTAGCGCTTTTACTCCCCCATTTTGGAGCACCGGAGCGTAGGAACGCTAGCCAAAAAAGAAAGCTTATCCCTTGACATTAGTCTCCTTGATTTATTACATCCGGGACTCCTGCACTTATTTTGCGCTTTGAGTACTTTTAACGTTAAGCCTTCTTGCGCTCACGCATCAAGTGTGAGGCTGCCTTTCCTGTCACTAAGTTGCATCTACACGTATAATATACCGTGTATTCTTGTACTCATATCAGATTTAATGTTGGGATGTAAAAGTGATTCAAATGTTTCCATTGTACGATGATATGCGAGTTCGGGAATATAACTTAAAATGTTTCAGTTGTCGGGTTGTGAGCTATCTAGGTAAGCTCTAAAAATCTGAAAATATCGTTTAAGCTAGTTAATGATACGCCGAGATATCAAGAACCCGTAGGCTTATCACGAATCCCTGTAGTAGCATACATCCCATCGTCTTGTTGGGACTTGCTGACGCATAGGTATTCTTTTCGGGACGTTTTTGATCGGTCTGGCATAATCGTGGCTGTTTCTCAATACAGCGTCTAATTTTTTCCCTCAAGTTTTGGATGGTCATGAACTTCATGACATAAACTTCGAGCTGGAAAAAGATAGAAACAGAAGATTAAGAGCCTTAAATCACTCGGTCCAGGCGGCTAATTTGGCCATCCAAAAGGAGGAACACACGATCAGGGAGTGTCTCACACTGTTTTACGTGATATGTGGCAAGTAGAGCCCAGTAAACGTTAAAGGTAAAAATTCATCAGCGCAGGTTTCGAAGGTAATGGAGAAAACCTCTAATTCGAACCCCGGAAAAGCAGCTTTGACGATGTTGGCCGCGTGCAGGCTCGAATTCATCGGACATCGTTTGTCACATCTTTGCTCTTGAGTTGGCTCAACGCAACTCAAATGAATGTGCTGCTCAGCTGCTTGATTTTCAGGATACGAACCCTAGAAGATCGGACTCTCACAGTTCCATTGAATGCAAAGCATAGTCTTTTTTTGGATGAAGGTCTGCTTGAACTTCCGACCTGAGCCATCCATTTAGAGCTATGGATCATGTCGACACAGAGGCGCCGCCGCTTTTTATCGTCAGCGATAATTCTGTGCAAACATCGGTAACTGTGACCATTTATTACCGTGATTGCAGGCGAGTTATTAAGATGCAGCTTTAATATTATATGTTAGATTCAGCAAGCGCATCAAATACCCAAATGTGTGAAGACACCTGAAACTGTTAATACCGGTTGTGTCGCTGTAGTTTATGTTCTTAGGCGATTCCCGAATTCTTTATAGGTCGTCTCTTCTCAAAAGTTCTTTCAAATGGTTGTTATTACACTGATCGAAGGGCAGCCTCTAAATTCTGGATACCGTTTTCAGGCGTAGCAGATCACTTTCGAGCAGCCGTTTTAGTGTGGTGGTGTCGTTACCGTATACAAACGAATGTCCCAAGCTGTTTCGATAGTGTTTGGGCTTCGCCCAAATGTGTGGCGTAGAAAGTATGAAAGATGCGCTTTGTTCGCCTGAACTATCCATTTCTGAGTAGCTCTTTCAAATTAAAATTACACACATAAATAAAGTTACAGCACGCCGACATAGTGGAACGAGTTCTCTCAAAGAGGTAAACAACGACGGGTGGAAATATCAAACGGACGTTTTTTTAGGCGCACAAGCCGTTTTTAAACTTTTATAGATGGAAATTGATATTCTCAAAGTGCTATTTTTTATTCGATAAAACTAATTTTTCCCTAATCTATCTCGATTCTACAGCAGCAGGTCGGTTTTACTTATGGAGATATTGCCCACAACGTTGTCGGTTAAAGTAATTTGCTTATATTTATTGACCATTCTGGTTTTATTTCAGAACCACGCGTGACAATTACGGGCGTATTGGGTGGCAAAGTCGGTCTTCCTTGTAACATACAACCCAACTCTTCAGATGACGAAGTCTCACTCGTGTTGTGGTACGTTGATTCCGATCACTTCGATAAGTAGTGTGTGGTCAGATAAAAGCCAATCGCTGGAAACGTTGAGCTTTCAAGCTACGGATTTCGTAATCAGCAACGGCGTACTAAATAAGTCGTACATTTGAGCGTGACAATTCTACGCTAACATTGCATGCAACATGACAAGCCAGGTTACGTTAAACAGACGGTTCTACTTTCACGTAAAGAAATCCATTTGATCACGAGACAAGAAATGGTCAAACGAACTTACTACAAGAGTCTGTTCCTTAGCGCGAGTAGATTAATAATAAATTCGATTGAGAAGTATCTGTCTGTTCGTAGTTTGCTGCTATTGTTAGAATTATTGATGCAATGAATTCAAGTTCGATGAACTCATAGTTTCTTTCGAATTTTTGCAGATTCCTATGCCTTAGCCGAGTAGTATTGCAAAAAAATAAAATGCTGATTCATTTTGTTTCCAAAAACGGGCACGATTTTACAATCCCTTCACAGTGTTGGCTTCAAACTCCAGCGAGGCGCAGATACGAAGATGACTGTACAGAAAGGAAGACGATTATAACACCTCGGTCAGGAGTTCCAGCCGCCGTCCCCTGCTACTAACTGAGTTAACAATCGAGTAGATCAGATCGGTGATCTACTATAAACATACTTTGCCGGAATAGAAAATCGCACAGGCGAAAAACGTCAAATTGTTGGAAGAAAATTGCCCTGAAATCCTATGGACTCCCTGTTCGCTCTCCCTTTAATAGTTTAGATTTAACAAGTAGATATGAATTTAAGTGACAATCTTCTTAACTAGAAAACTTAAGTAGAAATATATACCTGTATGTATTCAACGAAAGCGCTAATTAATAAATGGTAGTATTAGATGAGTATTCTATACGTGCAATTAATTGGCCCTCTAAACCATTTTAGAGGTTTGTTCGTGGGTGGGGGTCATCAACAAACCCATCGTATTTTTGGAGTGCGCTCTATGAATATCCTTTCGAGCTATAATTTGCAAAATGACTACCACGAACTATACTCTAGCGCTAGTAACGCATCTATATGAAGTGGTCTGTTGTATGCTTGGTAAAAACCTGTATAGCCGACATTAGCCACAATCTGTTCAACGTACTGAGCACACAGCTTACCTGACTTTTCCTGAATCAAGACCCGATATTCATTTCGTATTACTTTGCCTATCTAATAAGATAGCAAAGGTAAATAACATAATTAATCGTCATCTTCGGTACATAGGACAGTATTTCTAGCATCTGTTTTCGAAGGTCAAACTCTACAGGTGGTGATATTAGTTCACGCCGTCCCTCACAGAAACGGCCATTGTCCGTTTGAAGTTGATGCTAAAGAAATAAGCATATCTATTGCTTCGTCAAGTACGTAATTTTTAATTGAAGTCATTTTCATCACTAATAATTCATGCTTGCCTCTGAAAGGGCTGATTGAAAAGGGTGCTTGAAGTTATCAAGCTTATTAAACGTTCATCAGAAGCTCTCCATGCTTTTTTTTTTTTCTTAATTATAATGAATAATTAACTGTCCCCTTCCGTTATAAGAGATCATTATGAAATAGCCTGTGCCTTGGTACGTTCGTCTCCGTTTCGCGATACCTGTTTAGCAGCACTAAACAAATTAACTAGATAGTTTAAGAATGAAATCCTTTACACAAGCATTTGCATATTGACAAATTATAGATGAATACGATCATAAATATCTAAATTGCACGCATCAGATTGTTCCCGCTGAGAAAAAAACCAGGCAAGGGTAACATGCCGTTGGGCGGGTGAACTTTACGTCTCGATGCACGTAAGTTATATTGTTTAGTAAACTCCTGTTTCAATAAAGAGTTCATTATTACTTCTATGCCCTTTTCCTATAAAATTTCCAGTTAAATGGAACTTTATTTGCGTATTTTAATTTTCTGAACACATGGCCAATGTAGTAGACCACGAAAGAATTCAATAGACCGTTGCTTGTAGAATAATCAATAGGTTTAGGCCTTAAGGTGTCTATTTTTTTGTGGCTCTATAACTAGCAAAGTACCGTATTGTGATGTACGTATACGTGTATGCGTACGTCTGCTTAATCAGAATGAAAACAATTTAGTTATTTGTTTTCATAGGCTGCACCTTCGAGCAAAATGTAGAAGTTGCTAACCACGTCGAGCTATTACGGGCACGCGGAACGATATCTAGAAATAGAGAATATATGCAAGAGCGAAATGAGCTTTTGGGACGTTTTATAACGACGGTTTTTAAAACAGCTGCGATTCCACCTAGGATATCGTGAATTGAATAAACACAGGTAAGATACCAGCAAATCAATTTTGTCTCGAATACTTCTAACTCTGGATGATATCGTCCGTATTACGTCGAGAAGCCTCTAAGTGTTAACAGACACTGAGAACGAGGGCTACCGCGTAAGGCGTATTGACCTTAATAATTGTTTTCTGTCAAAATTGTTACATAAACAAGTGTCCTAAGCTGTGCCAGCCAATTTACGCTATGGCGTTGTCGCTCGCCTTACTCGTACGTGAGAAAGACAATAGAGTTGCATGAGCTCGATCAGCTTTCTTGTTTATTGCTGCAACTTTATGACGAAAGCCATGTTAGCAATATTTTACTGCAGTCATAAAGGAGCCTCGAAATTATAGAAATGATGTCGATTTCGGTTTGACGGGCCCACTCGAGCTACTAACATGTTGAAATATATTCTATCCATACCATTTTAATTAGGAAACATAATATAACCGGTTCCATTTTTCTCGATCACTGCCTGCAGTCGGCCGCGTTGCAGCGATCGCCTTTGCAGGCTTGCCCTATCATTTTCGTTTATAGACTATGCCATACGGTGTTTTTTTATATGAAGCGTATTTTTAACCTATGCAGTTTATGTTCCACCCGATGCATCATCGATCTATTTCAAACTCCCTCATACATAAGTGTAAGCCGGCGATGTCGTTTGAATTTCTACGCCGACAATTTCCACTAACTAGAGCCCGGGGATACTTCTCTGGTATTTTTTCACTGCGTTATATGCTAGCAAAAGCAGTTATGCAGGTTCTGATACGAAGGTTCTGATAGGACACTTGCTGGGGCAGGTCAAATATTTGTTTTCGTTTCTATGGAGCACACGCAATTCGATTTAGTCCAATGCTCATACATCAGTCAATAGAGCTTACTACTGATGAAACGCATATAAAAACAGAAAATGTTATATTATGTATATAAAATGGTACGTCGTGCATTACCGCTTGGGCCGGATTGTCTGAATATGTTCTTTCATAACTTTCGTCCTAATATTTAGCTTTACTGCAGGGACTAAGGACGGCTGCTGTCGCGACCCATCGATTGCCTCATTTCTTTGCAACGATTTGTTGTCAGCAAACTTCTCTAGATCAATATGTCCAGGCCATATATTGTAACGCCTTATCACACAGGTTGTGTAATATGCGTTGCGGGCTGGATTTGAACGTACTATAGTGTTGAAATATATTTACTATACTAGTTGTTTCAAGATGCCACAAAGATTTATCTAACAATCCTACATTTTATTAGATGCGATTGCATCTATTACGGGAGGAGTACAATTTAATCAGCATACTTACTGTACCACCGATATAATTATTAATCAACAAATAGCTACGCTTTCTAGACATGAAGAAAAGCTTACTCAACGACTTCCAATAGAGTTGATATCGAGTTGTTTGTTCATTTTGCTCGCAGGAGGCTAACTTGAAACTGAAGCACTTAGAATGAGAGGTGCCCTATAGACATTAAAAAGGCACAATGTGGTTTACCCGTAATGATCATATGACCCAGGGCTGGGCTATCTCTATACTATGCACTACCTCTGAAGTATAAAGTGCTACGAATCCGTCTGTTCGCAATTTAATTGCTGCTATGAATCAGAGATCCGCCTTAGAGACCCGAGGTCTTCGTTGCTTGGCTACACTTGGGAACACACACCATTGTGCTCCATGTTCAGATATATGTGCGATCAATTGAAACAATATATTTGAGGATCAGATCAGAGTTCAAATATACAAGCGTATTTCCTGCATAGAAGGTATATATATATATATGTTCTTCTAAGAAGTACTGGGTATACAATATGATCTATTTTAAAAAGTTAGGTACATGAGTTTAGATTGTTCTTTTCTATCCTCTTAAAACACTTGGTCTGACCCTTTCAACGCTCTCCTTGGCCATATTTCTTAATATATTAAACATGTTTTTCGAGCTGCAAAGCGGAGTTATCCATTAGCATATGCCGAGCTCTAAATAGAACGATACAATAACCTTGATTTTATAGTGCATGAAATTGCATTTAGGTAGATATGTTACTAGGTATCATCGAATATCCTTTTATCGCTCATTGCGGATGTTGTAATCTAATGGCACCGAAACTACGTTTTTTACGTGTACCAATAGATATATACGTAATTGTGGCAATATTGGATTATTAACCAAGTATGTAAACAGGTAGATGTTACGTGCTGATCAATAGGAACGTTTTGTTCGACTTTTTGCATGCATGACTTGGTCGTGCACAGCAGTTCTCAAGCGATAGACAATTGCTTATGGGGCATTGAAAGGAGGCTTATTTGCCACATAGTGCAGTGATTTTAACGGTGAAGGTAATATATTTCCGACTGTCAAAAACCTGCTATTTATAACGGTTTCATCCTACACATGATAGTATTTGTCCAATTATCGAATCAAACAATATTTATATATATCAGTCTAAAACCCACCGTTTATGTTACTTCTTCTCGCATAAGGAACGCATTAACAGTATACTGAGCGCGTCCATGTGTACGCGAACGACCCAGTATGTCTAACCCACAGTAACATGTACAGCTACCTCAGCCTGTCTGTCTGTCTGTCTAATAGATCTCTATAGTGCACGTGAGCTGCTTGGCCATTAACAACTCTGCCATTTACGTAACGTGTCGGTTTTCACGGATTTTTTTTATTGATCATTGTTGAAACTGCTTATGTAGGTACAAGGACGATTCGACTACGCCGATCTATTCGTTAGACTCGCGCAAGACAACATTAAGGAACGCTCACCATGCACCTGCGCAGTGGCTATCCGGAAGAGCGTACTTGCAAGCTACTTCCGGAACTGTTTCCACTCCTAGAGCGCGTGTCGATGATGATGTCTCTAGCCAATTACGACGGGGTCTACCTACGAACAGCCAATTGACGAATCGTTTCGGCGGTACCAATAACAGGTCAGGTAATACGGACGCCGATCGAACATCAGCCAGTGCGCCAGGATCAAGCCTGGAATTGCCTGCACCGTCATTGCTACAACTCGATCCATTGGAAAAGGAGGATGAAGCACTTTACCGATGTCGAGTCGACTTTAGGCGGGCTCGAACACGAAATTATGAAGTGCAGCTGATTGTAGTGGGTAAGTGGGTGTCATGGCACGGATTGTATCTTCCATAAAACTACGTAACAGGTGTAGGCCAGGGATCGCCTAGCTTGCTAGATGTATGATGGCTTTAAACATTCAATCGTTATAGAACGCTGGCAAAGTATGTTATGCCCCTTAATCTGTTAGCACCCTTATGATCATAAGATCTACGGTCTGGTCGCAATATTATGTAAGAAACTAAATATCAATGATGCCCACTGGATTTTATATTATCGGCATCAATTAGCATTTTAACATCAGCAAAGGTATTTGATGTTTTTTTTTCTAGAAGCAATACATATAGCATCCGTACATACTGCACGACTCGTGCGAACGTAAAAATATTTTTATAATGGTAAAATGTGAACGTGATTATTCGCGAGATCAAGTTCGCCATATAACGCAATTCAGTCTTCTACTTAGATAGCGATTTATACATGCCACATAACTAACATTTTCAACGATTAGTTGGAGCTGACTCATACGGGCTTTCGATTTAGGCCGTTCCCCACTAAGGTCCCAAAGACCGTAAAAAACCTCTGTCCAAAGGAACAATCTCACGTTTTCTATATTTTTAACATTTCATCATCTTCTCCCTGATCCAGCAGACGCTGTCTTAAACCTGTAAGTAGCAAACGTGTTATGTATATAAGGCTGGACTTAACTCAGTTTATATAACGCTGGTTACAGTCTATATTGGTGAAATTAACGGACGTCTTCAGTAAAACTTCGATCCATAGCAGTACAATATTTGCGCTTGGATACTTGATTTATTCGTTATATCCTATTCGTGCATTGTCGCCGCTCTGATAATAACTACCGTCACAGACAGTCGGTGACGTGACAAGTTATTCTGCCGAGCAGATGACAACCCCAAAAAGGAGAGCTCCACAGAGCAAATTTTTGATAGTGGCAATTTTCCGGTCGAATTGGCTATGTAATTTTTTGCCCAGATAAAAATCCTTATCGATATATTGTATGTTTTTTATATAACAAGAACTAGCTGGTACTAGCATTATAGTGAACTTGTTAACCTTACAGTTCCACCGCAGCATATGACTGTTACTGACCATCATGGTGCAATACTGGCTGACAAAGCCATCATTGGACCTTACAACGAAGGGGAGAAGTTGGTTCTAAAGTGCCAGGTATATGGAGGTGAGTACATACCTTTGATGCAGTCATACAGATTAAGTAAACGATTGTGTTATTTATAAGGGTTCTTTTTTGAATCTTTATTTTAAGAAGCAATAAAAAAAAAAGCAGAACTTTTAGCCAAAACTCTGTTTCTACAAAAGATATTGCATTTTTCTAATTTTCTGATAGAATTTGCATTTTTTAAGGAAGAAACAACCTATAGTGGGTGCTATGCCATTGGTTTTATTTGAGTGCCCCTTAAGTTAGACAGGTTTGTATTTTTTTTTATATCTGATTACATGAGTTGTAAGTACCTGTTGGGTAGCGTCCGAACGATACGCACTTGAGCGGCCAATGAACCCTGAGGTCGAGATTCGAGAAGTTGTTGGACACGCGAAAAGTTTCTAGTTTCAGTTTGGCCTTTGTTCATCACAAAGTGATGAAAAATTTTTACGGTATTTATGAGGTTAAAAACTTACTTTCTTACGACCTGAGGCAAAGCTCCTTACAAAACGACTGTCTAAACGCTCCGCTCGTTGTCGATGATCACAGATTTGTGAAACCCTGAGAGTACTGTTTAATATAAATACAATGCACTGTATATGTTTGAAAGCAATTGATCATTTCTAGTTGCAGCGTTATTCACACCATAGCTGTGTTAGAAATACGTTTTATTGATTTTTATTTGAAGGTGATTTGACGAATCAATCGGATTTCTATTTAAATCACCTCTGATGACTAAAGCTCTTCGGAAAAGGTTTGCCTCTCAAAAGAATATGAAGACCTGATACAGACTTGTCTATATTCAGACCTAATCTCAATAAATTATTCTAGAGGCTACGCTACACACAAAGCGCGTTTCTAACGTATACTTGATATTTTCCATCAGGTAATCCCACACCTAAAGCAGTATGGTATCGTACACCTAAATCATCGCCAAATTACATTAACGGTGCACCGCCACACGGGAGAGTGTCGTCAGATAATAACAGGAGCAGCTTGAAAACTCAAAATCTGGGTTTTTCTTTGCACAATTTTGGCACCGTCATCGCGTCATCGTCGCCAGCACCTTCGGGTTCAAGTGATTCGGGTCCTGTTGGGGCGGCTATATCCAATGGCAGCGGTAGTACGGAAGTCGAGTTGGTGATTTCCACCCTGACTCGCTTGGACCTGCTCTCGGCCTTCGCGTGCGTGGCCCAAAACAACAATATCTCGGAGCCACTCGTCTTCACCGTAGTAGTCGACGTTTATTGTGAGCACTCTGTAAAGAATATAGCAGCTGTTGTTATTACTGTATAATACGGCGGGTGATTAGACGCGGCAGCTCGGATGCCATGTAGAGCTTCAAATTTACCGGCAATAAAAATCATTCGAGTTCGGACTCTCTGCTCATTGACAATTCGTGACAGGGGCGCCAATGGCACACACTCACACAAACATAAATAACATTACCTAGAGTACTGTCTTGTCAATCAATTAGTTATAGGGCAACACGAATTTCGGCCTTTATCTGCTGCTTCTCTCAACGATTTCGTAGCGATATGATGTTAAAAATGCTTGCAGCGCCTGTTGAAGTACGCTCGTACTCGCATAGGTATACGAGTAATAAACATCGAGACTATAGAAACCGTGTCGTATCTATATATGTATATATATATATGTATACGGTTCGACTTTATAGTCAACCTAATCGATCAACTAACGCGCTCTGTCGAATGCGACTTACTCTAGAAGTCAAAGCCATGAGGCTGACCAGATTTGGGTTTTCATTGCAGTCCGTCCACAGCGCGTATGGATATCGACGATGGATCCACCAGCGCCTGGTAGTCGAGATGGAGATGCGTCGTTAACTTTATCAGCGGGTGTTCCGGTGAGGCTTCAGTGTTCCTCATCGGGCTCACGGCCTCCTGCTGTCATACAGTGGTTTAAGGGGGACGAAAGAATTAATGCGACCAAATCGTTTAACGTCTCGCCTAACCCTACGACAGGAATCGCTGTTAGCCGCCTTAAAACACCAGAAGAAGAAATAGCTGGTCCATCTTCGGCGAATTCTCGAGAAGCAGCTGCAACACCAGCAAAATATCGTATAAATTTGTCCCCTGCTGATGAGCCATGGCGCCAGACCCTATCGACGATTGAGCTGATTCCCAGCCCAGATGATGACGGGAAACAACTCGTATGTCGGGCCGAAAATCCTTCTATGCCGAGTCTGCGGGTACGCATCTTGTGGTAGAATTCATATTATAAATTATTTTAATATTACTTTTAGGGTAAGTAGTTTATCACAGGTAATTGGGTAACTACATTTTGCTTGCCTACAACTGTAGTCACAGAACGGCGCTAGTGGCGGGGCAAGTAGAGCTGCAATTATGGCTTCTGAGAGTGCTGGAGTCAGCCCACGTCCAGGCGAGAACGGCATCGACGACGGCATCAAACTTCACGTACGATGTAAGTTTAGCATTGAAAATCATCATTATTATACCTGGGTTTTTGGCAGCTATTGGCAAAACGTTCTTAGATTTTATTCGACTAGTATGCTAAACAAAATCAAGGGTAATGAACGACTATGTCTATTTTACTAGGATTACTTGAAGAGGTACTGCTTGATTAATAGATATTATAAATATATACCTAGGAAGAGCGTTGTACCTTATAGTTGCTCTCGAGTGCTCGGCTGAAAGTCGTAAGCTCAAATTTCCTGCCCTTGACAAATTAATATAAAATGTTGGATTCGTTAATGTCCGACTAAAGTGGATCGCCATGAAGTCTCATAACCACAGGCTCGGTATGTTACTCTCGATAGGTACTCTGTTCGACGGACTGCCCAAAAACAGTGCCTATATCCTATTAGAGCAAAACAGAGAAGATCTGTGACTGATGTGATCTACACGATTATTTATCAGATAATGCTACTTCCTTACTGTATTGAAGAACATATCGTTTAACTCACATTCAAGGTAGCCTAAATAACAATCATACATTATAGTTCTTGATATATGAATATCAAGTTCAACGTATGACGCTGCTATGATATTCAAAGTTTTTTTCAGGCGCCTCTTTGTCCTTTCACACACACAACTTACGGTTTTATTTAATGTTTAACGGAAGTTTGACACTTCTCTTTCTCTGTCAATAAAAACGGCAATGGTTGCTGATTTCGACCCGCAATTGCCTGTTATAGGCACTGTGGACATAGTTATTTAATGTTTAGAAAATTACATAATTATTCATCTAATATAATAGTATTCACTTGGTTTACTGCGAAACGTTTAACGACTTTCGGCTGATGGATCGTCATCGGGATAAAGACAGACATAAGTTTTTCGTTAGCCTTAGGGAATCTGAGAAGGCTTTTCCCCGCAAAAGTTTATTTTACGGAAAAAAAATCACATGTCTTGGCTATATTGAAATATGCAATTTAAGCCTTGTCGGATCGAGCAAATCTTATTCTCACAAAAGTGAACAGACGTGCCCTCATACTTGCGCCGTACTGCGGTGGTTCGGTGCAGCTTTGAGCTGTCTGTTGGAAGTCGGATAGGGTTCGCTGATAAATCTTCTAGCACGAGCTGGGAAGCACTTCATTAACCCGCATCTATTTAAAACTAACGGAACTACAATTCAGTAACAGGTCGACGAACGGATATTCTAGGTAGCACTGAACTAAATGTCGATATTTTTCAAATAGCTCTCGAATAGGCAAATTAAATAAATACGACTTTGGTTTTAAAGCGACGTATCAACAATAGAGGTCAAGCCTTATGCTACTAAGTTGGCTATTATGACTATTGTTCATTCATAAAGTACGTGATCGTGGTGGTATTGGGCGTAATTCAAATAATAGAAGTTCGTTTAAGTTGTTGGATGGATAAAAGGGGTTTAATTTTCACAAGTGTCTTAAGTCATTCGCTCGTTTATCTCAGTACCTCACATGAATGAGCTGCAGTTCTTATTATTGTGAACAGACGATTAGCAGACGAAGCTGGGATCTAAAAAATTGATACGGTAGCTTAGTTTGTTACAGACTTCAATAAAATTACATTTTTGTTTTGTAGAAAAAAACTCTGTGTGTAGAGGTACGACGCGAATTTTTGAAGCGTGCTAACCGATGGGTCAACCTCTCAAGGCTCGCCCTTCAAATGAAGGTATGTGCGGGCATAGCCACAGGGAAATCCTTTCATACGTTGCAACATAAGTCATTCGCTTTCAAGTGTTCTTATCAGTCAGCATCCGGCTTATTTGAAGTATCCAGCTTGCTATATGCTATATAATAACTTCGGCATATCAATCAGCATGATCTAGCAAGAAGCCGTGAAGTTTCTATGACTTATGGAATACTCCTCTAAAGCCTTCGAGGCCGTTCACCTGTAAACTATGATGCAGAGCTTGTAACAAACCTATATCAGCTTTTGTTACTCTCTCGCAAATGTTTTTCCTATTGTATGGCGATGTAACAGATGAAATAAGGCGTGGCTCTGTATTTTTGGACATATATTGTACTTTACATGTAATATAGGTAGCGTGATACGCTTTGAAATACTTTCATCTCGTCTTCCGTTTCTGGTTCAGTTCCAAATGCAGTATCTCCCATGTCCTTTCGAACATGCGAGCATTCGTTTAGCGAGCTTGATTCGTTTAGCCACGTGCTATTTACGATGATTGACAACGTTCTTCTGAACATAACCGTAATAAACCGTGAAACCTTAATCGCCGCAGGTCGCTCCGTCACTCCGGCCCCAGTTGCATATCTATCTGAACTATACGATACATAAGCTTTCTTGACAATAGAATGCACCCCTTCTTCTTTATTTTAGGAATTGTTTTCTATTTTTTAGGAATATATTAGGAAAAAAACGTGATCTTTGTTGACAACATATCAATGATATAATTGCACCCTCTATTCTTGAGTATGCGGCGAGCATGCTTGCAGACAGCCATTGGAACACACAGACACGAAGGTGTTCGTGCTTACGTTCATGATTTGTGCTATTTAAGGTTTTTTTGGCCGCCTATTTCCTTACTTAGTTCGTAAGTCCATTGGTGCTATACTTTTATATTTTTGCACACTTGTATACCGTTACGCAGTCTCGCTAGTAAGACAACCCATATCCTATCACCGTGTTTATCATCAATGACCATCTAGGCCTAGCAAATTCTATATCCACATGATAAAAGAGCCAATTTATTTACTGCAGATTGTGGCCTGAAACGCGTCATTTATATTTAGCTTGAAGGTTTCATCGGGAGACCTCTAGTAAACGGAAAACGTTCTTCCAGCTAACGGACGAAATACGGCCATAGAATGTGCAGTAAATCCTATTAATGCGGAAGGTCTGCTCTGCTTCATCGATTTACCGGGTCCCTTAAGGTAAAGACAGAAATTTTTAGAATATACGCGCCTTTCATACACATCTTCGAAGCTGTCAGGTAATTTATCGATACGGCTCTAGTAAGCGGTGTCTTTGTTTCACTTAGAAAAAAAATGTAACTTATCTGAACGTCTTCCCAACATGGATATATGAAAAGGCTAAATAAATTTTCGACTCGGCCCCAAGTGCAGCGGAAATATATTAGATTCATAACAGTGTTTCTTTGTTCAACCCGATCTGATCAGGTTTAGCAAGCTTTCTAAGCCTCTAGTGCTATTTTGAGAGGGGTGAAATTGCTTAAAACATTTATACGACTGTGACACGTGTATACGTAACAGTCCATTGCTAGAACTATTTGACAAAGGAAAATGAGGCGGCTTTCAGCCAGGCTTGTCAGAAACCTTTCCCAGTATTCTACAGTGTAACCGTCAAATCGTTGAACATTGAAAACAAATCCAGTAGTTCTAGAAGTGATTCCGAGAAGTTTAACTGCGAAGATACTGCGAGTGTATGGTAAATAAGTAACTTGTAGATCGGCGCAAAAAGTGGCGCCGAGGGATGAATTCGTGCAAGCAGCATGTACATGCATGGGCAATGATTTCTAGTATTATCACAGTTATTATTACTAGCGACAAGATGTCAAGCATAGGTGTTGGAGCATTTGATGCTCGCACTGAGAGAACACGTTATTCAGTACGGTCTACTTTATCAAATCATATTATTTATTGAATTGAAGACATTTTTCACAATAGAGATTTTTACGAGAAGATTTGAAATTAATTTCTATAGCTGAATATCTGCTGCTACATGTCGTTTTCATGCACCTATTTAGATCCGGAGGAAAAAAGCTCACAGAAGTACGAATATTTTTGGTTAATGATAATAATCTTATATATATATATATATATATATATATATATATATATATATATATATAAGATAAAATGGCAGATTAGGGTGTTGGCTATTAGGTTCAAGCGTTAGATTGTTTTTGTGGTGTGGATGTAAAAGCTTAAACTAGCTATCGTGATCGATAAGGCCAGAAAAAACTTTTTTCATTTGGCGTGTCCTCAGGTCCTTTTTTTTCGAACATGTCGTACGGCATATCTAGCAGTATAGGTAATCATATAAATATCATTACGCCCTTAGATAATACCACTAATAGCATTCCTGTATACGTCTAAATTATTCTCGTACAATTTGAATGATACGGGTCAAAAATGCAGAAAGACATCAGTATGCCGTAGGGCCGTCGTGGAGCTACTGAGCCGCGAACGTTTGGCGATAAACCCAGTCTGACTTAGCTGATGAGTATGGAATATTCATTGGTAATGAACGCAGCATTAGACAGCAGTCGGCGGCAGACAGCGACCAGAAGAGACCGCTGGGCTTATTATTGTAGAATAGGCCTTCTACATTGTATCATGAATTACTGCAGCGAATTGGCACACAATATAGCTAGCAATCGTTACCGAGCAGCAAACAAGGTAATCCTGCCCAAGGTTTTGCGGAGACGAAAATGGCCTACAAACATTAGCATACGTGTAAGTTATATGATGGAAACTTCGTGAGAAAATACTATTTCCAATGACGAGACGAAGATATTGCCTTATGCTGGTGTATGAACACGTCGTGGCAACCGTTCAAAGCCATACTTAACGGTCGTTGCGACGGACTCGATGCTCGATGCATTCATTTTGTTGCTGTTGAAAATGTTCCTATATGGCGGTGGTGGTGCTGCTGCTGCTGCATAGCCATACATGGCTATGGATCGCGTCGTTCGCAATCTATTTTCCCTCCTAAATGCCACACGTGATGGCGAGCCGCCGTTGATCTTCACTTTGTCAATACTGCTATTCTAGTAACACACATTGTTTGAGGATTTTCCTATTTTTCTGTACTCCAGAGGAAATCCACAGCTGGCGTCTTTGTGCTGGTTATCATTTTCGATTTCTCCGTAGCCGGGTGCGTGTGCGACATATGACTGCCGAATCGATGGCCCGTTTATCTGATGAGAAGAAAAAGGTCTGCGTGACCAGGCTCATAGGTTTAATAGTTACCCAAAGGTAGCCACGGAAGAAATATCTTTCTACCACGACAGGGGATCAACACTGACAAGTCCCGAACGAAAATCTCATTGCAAACTATCGACACGTATTGTGCTTCCACTGAGTTGAGCCGTTAATACGATATTTTTCTATCGAAAAGATGTCACAAACCGGCCATTCTCGGATCAAAATGTGATAGGAATATAGGAACTATATTCACATCTACCGGAAGATAAAATAAAGTTTTGCATCATAGGATAAGATGCAGCTCACGCTGCGTCAAGCTCCAGCTGCGTCTTTCTAGAATGCGTTGCGCCGGACGTGAAAATGATAAGCTGTCCTGGCGAAAGTTGCTATCGAGAGAGGGAGAGAGAGAGAGAGAGAGAGAGGGAGATATGAATATCTTGTTCTATGTCCTGTTGTTTACCTAATTGTATGGTAGAAAATTCCCATTCAGTTCTCGGTGTTTGGAAAATATTCACAAATAATACATCTAACACATTTAACTAATATAATCCACTTTCACATCATAATGTACTTTTATGGGAGCGTATCTATCCATGTTAATTCGTCTCGGATATTGCATATCGGTAAGTTACAAGAAAGAAACTTTGTATAATTTAGCTAGGCGGCTTTGTATCGGTGCGTACTTATGTACATTCTAATAGACTACGGTGTGGTTACTGCTGTATGAGCTTCAAGTAAATTGCAATCTTTTTGCATTTTGGGACACAGTCCGTTTGCAAAGGAGCTTTTTTTTTTGATCATTTACATTGCCTTTTAGACCTACGCATGAGCGTTGGCCACTGCCGCTGACTAATATAATGTAGTTTAAAACGAATATTAGCTTCAGTGTCATTGAAGGTGATGTCGATTAGATTGAACTATTTGGTTTTGTAGATTGAAGATGCTTTCGTGGTATATGCTGCTATGTTGCAAGCTCTTACAGAAAAATACGATAATGTACCAGAATGATAAACGTTGCGGTGTTCAGTACATTTAAAAGGAAGTTTACAAGCAGGTCAAATCGATGTTAGGCGCATTGGACACTAGTCTTTGTTGGTGTAATCGCGTGGAGGTTCCATAGAAAGGCTGCTAGGAGGTTTTTAGGATCCGAACGATCATAGACTGCCGCTGAAGCAACTAAGCGTCCGTAACCTTTTGAAAATTACAAGGCAGCGCCCAGTGATTTATTGGCAATTTTTTGGCGCCGTTTGGCAAGCCGTTTTTTAAGGCGCAAAAAATTTAAATTTGGTTAGCACATTAGTTGTATTCAGCCGACATGCCGACATATTTGTACAGCCTTCACTGGTATTCAACCGTTCAATTAATCGTTCTGTTCCTAAACGCTCAACTTTTTAACCCGGGTTACAAATAAATTCTAGCTGACCAATTGACCCATTTCATTCTAAACCGCGCAGATTGGCATCTAAGCTTATTATAAATTGATGCATAGAACGAACTCGAGTACACAAGGCTCTTTTTTCAAAGAACTATTTTGAGGAGCTGGTCTTGTCCTTAGTTTCTAGTTGGCCGCCTTATAGGCTACTGAGTTTATAGTATCGAAGAGGTTTGTCATTTCGATGCGAAATGATCAGAATTTTTCACTTATATGAGATATAAATCATGATCTACGTCACGCGACTGCTATACCATATAAAAATACTTAAACTATTCCACGATTTCAAGCATTTAGTCGGAAGGCATGAGTGGACGAAAGTTCCGGTCCTATTAAGAATCCTGCTCGCAGTATCTCTGACTTTGGCGAAGAACAGCGATGATTAGGTGCTTTCGTCGAAGGCTTCTGGATAGCCTGAATAATCGATGGTTCTTAGTACGTGAGAAAGTAGTGAGAAAAACCGTCTTATTAAAATGGTCCGCGAAGTACTCTTAAAAGAAAAACAAGTCACGCGTTATAAACTGATACTTTTATTCGAATTTATCTATCGAAACGAGAAAAAAAAAGACAAAGTCTTAAGCGTCCTAATTAGCCTGTGCTTGTACTACCTGAACTAATGTGTTTTGTAACTTATACTCGAAAAGTCAACGTTTTATTTTGTTTTATCGTGACACATGTAAAAGTACTGATAAAAAATATAAATTTAATCTGTATTTAGTTCTAGTTTTAGACATAGGATCCGCGCACAATTTCGAAATGGTTTAGTGTCAATGTACGCACACTGTGTGTTGTATCTAGGTGATTAGCTTTAAAGCATCGTCGTTCTGTAATTGAGTCACATCATTGCAGGTCTTCGATAGTGGTACAACTTATATAAATCTGTCATTTTGTATTTAACTTCTACGTTATAGATGTGCCACAGATGACGGTACGCTTAGGCACAAAGTTGCGACACACGCATATCCGTGAGGGCAGTGACGTCTTTTTAGAGTGCGATGTCAAAGCTAATCCACCTCTCATTGAGATGGGTTGGCGATTTGAGGGTCAAGAGCTTACTCCGACATCTAGCAATGATAACCCGCATGGTCACAACAATCACAAAGGTGTTGTCATTATCGAGCACTCGTTGGTACTACAGAAAGTTACCAGGTACGGATAAGCGAAAGAAGAACAGGACTGATATTGTGAGTTATTTAATTTGAAATTGTGCATATATACATATACGTATAGAGGATGGAAGTAGGGACGATTAACGTTTTATGAAGGGGGAAGGGCAGTTCTAATAACTGTAAACAATATAATCTACAGGCATAATCGTGGAAAATATACGTGCACAGGTACCAACGCTGTCGGTCAAGGAGAAAGCGATCCCTTACAGCTGCGTGTGAAATGTGGGTATAAGACAAGTTTTTGAATTTCTTTGAGGGCTCGAATTGGAACAAACTACGATAGAACAATTATTTTTACCACTCCTATTCAAATTAGACTAGTACGTATATGCTGGCGTTTTTTGAAGGACAAAGGGGTTTCGTTTTTGCAAGACTCTAGCTGTAATCAATCAACAAGCTAATCTTTTCGTCCAGATGAACCTCGTTGCATGCCCGGTCAACGCCAAGTGTACGGAGCCGCAAAAAATGAAGCCGTTCGTCTCAGCTGCGAACTGGAGTCGGACCCTGAAGAAGTTACTTTTAAGTGGAAAACCCGTACGACAAAGCGTGTCATCTCATTTGCTCCATACTCCGCATCAAACGCGTCTCCAAACAATGCATCTGATGATGACAGGACGATTCCCGACGCAAACTTGAATCTTGATACACACGGCGCCGTCGTATCAAATGGCACCCGCAGTTGGCTCACCCTTATACCCCGTTCAGAAGAAGATTACGGCACAGTAATCTGCTGGGGTAAAAATACGATAGGAACCCAGAAGGAACCCTGTATGTTTACGCTGATTCCAGCTGGACCACCGGGTCCCGTACACAATTGCACCATCGCAAAAGCAACTGAGGACTCGCTCACAATCGCTTGTCTCGAAGGCTACGACGGCGGAGCAGAGTATGGACAGCATTTCCACATGGAGGTGCACGATTCAGCGAACCAAAATCGCGTACTCATTGCCAACGTGACAAGCGGTGGACTGTCAGCGAAGCCGGTGCTTACAGCTGCTGGTCTGTCTCCCTCTACGGCATACGTTTGTACGATCTATGCTGCAAACGAGAGGGGCACAAGCCAGCCGACGATCCTCGTCGCGTCGACGATTCCACGCCCATTTAGTTTGTCGAAATCGTCGAAAGGTGGTTATTCGTTTCTATTCGGCTATCTTTATGGAAACGGTCCGAACGGCAATAATAATCCATCACTGCTGGCCTTATTTGGTCTCGTGACAGCACTTGTAACCACTGTTGCTGTGGTAGCACTCATCGTGCTATTGACGCTCAAGCTTGTTCGATGCGGACAGTTCGCCGGTGGCAATAACAAGAAGTATAGTAAAAAAGGTATAGTCACCAATAGCATTTCTCATTTTATAATATTTCTTACTTAATGGCAATCGTTAAATTAAACGCTTCGATAATGAAAAGTCAGAAAGAAAATACGCTCTATTCGAACCGAATAGAAGCGTCCCATTTTCGACAAAATTTACATCGACAGTAACTCTCAGGTTAGTGGCTCTAAATATCGCTTCTCGCAACTAGTAAAGCTGACCCAAAAAAAAAACAATTAACTTACGGTTTAGATATAGATATAAAGGTGTAAATAAATGCGCTAATATCTGTATTTGTCTGTCGCTCGTAGCTCCCCATGAGGGCATCTCGAGAGACGACGATGAGTCCGTATTCCCCCTGAGGGATCCAAACAAAGAACGCGACCATATGACAGATCTCAAGATTTTTGGAAATGATCTTGACGACGACAGCAAGTGCCCTGACATTATAACAGGTGAGCAACCCCGTAGTGTGATGCTTTGAGTTATTGCTATCTATATAAAAATGAATTTTCTTATTTACCGAAATTATGTAATTATGTGTTTTCTAACAAGCTTATCAAAAACTACGTAAAAATAGGCGGAAATGCAACTCTTCTGGATTCCCTTTATAAAGGATTTTTGGCGTAATACGATAATGTGTTGAAATGCTAAAGAGAAATGAGCCATTGATGTCAAATTTCTTAAGATTCTTTCAACCCTTTCAATGCGCTGTATTCGAAAACACAAATGAAATTCTTAATTTAAGGAAAAAAAACTCAAAAGGAGCATTAAGTACGTTTAGCCTCAGGTCAATGGCTTCAATGTTCTTGATCGCGTTGCACGATGAAATCGCCTTCAGTTAAGACTATGTTTCGAAGTTGTAATTGTGAAGTTAACTGTAGTTCGACAAAAAGGACCTTACTGAACGAAATAACTCAATTAAGTACCCTTACAATTTCAGGAGTTGGTGAGCATTTTTTTTTTGACAAAACTATATTATATGACATTATTCTGTGGTCTTTTTTGACAGAAACATTAAAACTCACAAGCCCCTCGTGCTCGTCGACAGGTGACGTTGTTGAAAGCAGTTTCATCAGTTCGGTCACGCCGTTGTCGCACTTCAGTTCTTCTGCAGCTGCAGCTAGCCTTTCAATGGCATTGCAACAAATGCAGCAGCAGTCTTCGTACGCGACGGCGGCAGGAGTACGAGAATCATTAACTGCTTGCCTTCATTCGCCAAACGAGTGGATACCGACAGATTCTAAAAAAAATGTTGGTCCTTCTGCCACAAGAAGTTCTATCATAACGGGTCTGTACCAACTTGGCGTTGGCAACCGTCGTAATAGCTTAAAGCGAAGTTCATGGGATCTTGCCCAGCAACAGAAATTGCAACCTTCATACATGTCCTGCCAACATGTGGCGACCCTACCACGAAAACCTACACACCAGAACGTGCAATCGAGTCATCATCAGGAACAGCAGAGTCAGTACGGATCGTCACCTCCCCCTAAGCAAAATGCCAATTTCGACGTTTCGCTGCCATCGATGCTGCCTGTCGTAAGTGTTTTTGACATTTGTAGTTGTTTTGAATGGTAAATGTAATTTTGTATAGGCACACACCTTCGTGTATGTGTCAAGAAACCATATCCTGTATTATTATTGTCACGTTGTTTTCTGTGACGAATGGGCTTCATGTATGCTACAGGGAAGTTGCTGGCCCGAATGTCCCGCGCCGACACTCGTCTCTAGCATCACACTATCACCACAACACAGAGCGGCACTTGTCGAAAACGCATACAGTAGAAATTACGATCGAAGTTCGTCAACGGGGGTACCGTCAGCAACGTCATCAACCGATGAACAGGCTTTCGGGGGTGTCAAGCTTCTTCGTAAAGTCCAGGAGGCACAAACACGCCTTAGTGAGATTGTCACGCCCGACACACCCTGCAAGAGCTTCAATCCAAACAACACGACATGATGATTGTGTGAGTAAGTTACTACCTAGTTCAATGAGCAGACGTGTGACTTGATAGCCGAACAGTGTTAGATCTCAAATAATACTTGGATTTTATATTGTGTATTTGTCATTCTAATGATATCTTTGATGTCTAAGTATTAACGTGGGTTAGTCTGATCGTCCCTGTTTCAATCCATGCCTTATAAAGCACGTCTTTTTGAGCTACTGATGTAATCTTATTACGATACTAAAGTAAACTGTAGTCCGAGGCACTCGCGTTCTAGACTACTCAAGAGGTGGAAAGCAACACTGGAGCCTCTCTCGCAGCTTGTTTCCGTAGCCAAATGTAAGAAGTCCTCGCGTCACAAAATTCAAATTTCAACAGTGTCATAGGTTTTTCATCAGCCCAACAATTACAATGGTCAACATACAACTAGGGTGATACTGTTAGCCGTTGTAACACTGAGAACTATCGAGGCGATGAGTACCTAGTTATTCGTTGATGATAAACAACGGTAGTAAATAAGCAAAGAGCAACTAGACATGCGTTCTCATTGGTAGCGTTGTCTATTTTTGCAACGTAAGTTAGCGGAACGAAACTCACCAAAAAAAAGGGCTAGGTAGCGGAGACCGGGTTTCGACTTCGCATTGATACAAGCGGAATTTTTATATTGTAAAACAAAACCGACCTAAGATTTGATAGGAGTGAATGAATTTCGAGGTACCAACGTGCTTAGTTGCCGTATGAGCAAACAAACGAGATCTTAGCTTGGACCCCTGCCACAACACTACCTTGTTGCGAATATATCCAGGGAAACGATTACGAAGTTATAGAGCGAATGCTTTTTAGAACCCGCTCTCTATTGATGCACAAAGTTTATTTACTGTTCCTCAAAGTCAAATACTCAGCGGCTTCGGGCACGTCGAACAATGGGAGAGCCCTTCGACGCGGTAACCGGAGCGGCTATCGATTGTATCGGTGTTCGATAGTGTTAAAAGCCTGATCATTTAAGATGCAACGCATGGCCGATCCCTGCAGGTAGAAGAACTGACGTAAGTACGGCGCATGGAAGCCAGAAAGGCTTCTAGATAAGCAGAGCATTAACGGAACCAGTATTACGGAAAGCTAATTGATCAGCTAAATCAGTTCACTTTTGATACGTCGTATAAATAGTTAAAAATAGTGCACGATTAAGTAGGACCGCCTTATTATCTATACGTGCATATCAGCAAACTAGATCTTCTACTAAATACAGTGGCAATCATGAAGTCATTTATTGCCCTTTTCGGAAATGGATCAATTTGAGTCGTCGCTTCCATTGTATATAAAAACATCTCCCGGTATAGGCTTTCACTCGCTGGCTTACGTGGTTATTTACCTGGTAACTAATCGGCTCCATAATTAAGTTTATAGAGCTTAGTATTTAATGCATCTTAGTTTGTGGCAACATGTATTACACTAATAGAAGGAGCATCGCTGAAACTAGATGCGCTATTTTTCCGCCGCCATTACTACTTAGCTGTCCCTATCGCTAGCTATCAGTCAGCTAATCCTGTCCATTCACATGGCTGATAACCAACAACAATACACCATAATCGAGATAAACGTCGTGTCGTACAATGCGGTTCGCCTCTGATAGTAATCGAAGTCGCGTTTATTCCCAGGCAGCTCTCGTTATGGCCTTCCGGAAGTTGTGTGGCTCGAACAAGTCGAAGCGATCCCCATTGAACGAACTCCACCCAGAATGTACTTGGACTAGAAGAGGCTTCATACTAGTATTAGTTTAATACTAGTTCACTTCTAGTAGCAGCTGCCCACAATCCCACCTTATTAGCTACTATTAAAACCCATAATTTTATACTCATGTTGCTATTGCTTGTATTTTACAATAACATGCTCGCCACCTATGTATATATTGGAAGCGTCCGACAAAGGGGCCCCCAGCTGCTATTTTAACTATCCGTTAAATGTAAAAAGGTCGAAAGCTGACCCCGTACAGGCTACGCGCGTTAAAGATTTTAACAAGACGCTTAATCGTATCGGCCTGTAGAAGTAAGAACCCATTACCGAGTCATATCATACTTGACTCAGTGTACTGAAATGCTTTACGTCATTTACCCTTACGTCAGGCCCCTTGTGAGTGTGCTACCGTTATTTATAAAAGTGTCGTATAAGTTCAATAGTAATGAAAGACGTACGAGTTTCAAGCTGTTGCATAGTAACGCGGCGTATGAATGATCACATAGTCCAGATCTTTGCGTATGCAGTGGATAGGCCATTTGGGCTCTTGTAGATTATCTAATAGTACGAATACGGTTCGACATATGACGAGCTGAAGATTTAAATATTTAAATCGATTTTGGATTTTGCTTTGGGTTAAACTCTCCTACTAACACAAATTGCCTTAAATATAAGAATATAAAGCAGAATTGTACAACATACGACGAACAAAAGGGTGCCATTGAAAATTTATATATCTGATTTTAATCTATCGTTTGATTTACTCTCGTAGAAATAGCACAAAATACTATATACAATGTATTAATTAAAAAATGTATGCACCTTAGGTTAATAGGATAATTATTTTTTGACAATACAGTGTCTGATGGAAAGCGTTGGTGAAAATAGCGAAGGCTATTTTCAACAAGATAGGGCGTATAGGGTTATCATGTAAGAGCTTATCATGATGATCTTCCATACGTGGATCAAGAACAATGTTCTAAAGAATAGTCTAATAATTCAATGTGAACTTGCTAAGTTCTCTTTTACCTTCGTTTTAGCTAATCTGATGATTAGCTGATATCGCCAATAGTTGTAGTTACCTCTATCCATCTGTTTTTTTTACTGATTCTGCTTATCATTTGAGTAACTTTATTCTTCCATTAAAATGTTCTAGCGACTTGGCCGGACTCTGTTTGGAAGTTGTTTTATCAGCCTTAATTACAAGTTAACGACCTTAATTCACATTACATGAACTGTAACTTGATTGAAAGCGTTTTCCTACCTATTTTGTCATCTGGTGATAATTCGTCTGAAACCCATTATATTTATGGATTTCTGCGGTCTTCAGGTGAGGACCTGCTTTGTGTCATTAACTACGTTTTCAGGGTCCCACTATCCTGTTACCCTGTTCCAACGAAAAATAGTCATCTTATTACATGAATTGTGTTATGATATCGCAGCAGTTCGATTTTCCTTCTATTAGAGTGTTTCATCAACCCTGTTATTTTACCGGAGTTAGGACATTTTTTGTCTAAATTGTTTCGTCCTCTCGTCGCAAATAATTTGTTACGTTTAGATTAGCTATACTAAAGTCTAGTTCATCGTATCTATTGAGGCGTCTTTATTCCGTTACCACAGTTATGTATAATTCCATTTTTCCGTTCAAGTGTTTTTTGGGCCTGTTATTCTGTAGCATTAATTTTACTTCACCATTGTGGAAAAAATCAACGAATACATGGAAACAACCGACTTCGAGTAACAGAAATATCGATTACGTACGGGATAAGTATGTTCGAATATAGCGGCGGTTGCGTACTGCATCGTGATATAACATAATTGGTTATGGAAGCCCTCTAAAATAGATTTTGATTTCTTTCATTTCAGGTGAAAAATGACCGGATAAGTGAGGAGCTTTGTTGTATATAAAACTAATGGCATATAGGTATATGTACGTACATGCTTCCAATGACTTCAATTAAAGTATACAGCCGCGCGTTTCTTTAAAAAGCTGCCAACAATAATTCCACTCATGTCAAGGAAGATAGATAAAGAAATTATATATAGGCAATATATTTTTGCGACATCGGTATGTGTATATACGCCGCGTTCTCCCATTATAATTGAAGCCTAGTATAAAGGTAATAAATTATTAGATATGTGCGAATAAAATTGGCCCTTTAGTAGGTGTCTTGTACATACGTAACTTCAACGCAGTGTTTCTCAGTTGTAATAAACAGTGAGGAAAAAAAACTTATGACTCGCAGAGGTAGAAGTCTCATAAATAGAGCAGATCTTAGCGAAAATGGTAATGTTTATAAACATCATAAGCAACGATGTAATAATAATATTATAAATGGCCTTGGAAGAGCCGCTACAATTTTTGCAAATGAATGTGCTTCTTTATAAATATATGGCTACACGTGTAGCATATGAATTTATGTTCATTGGAAAAAGAAGGCCTAATTTCCGTCATTGAAACTTTACAATAATTGGCTGCCTTTAACTTAGATAGACTTTGTCAATGGAACTTTCTTGAATTTTTGTTCTTTGTTCATGTTTAGCACTGTTAGGTACTTATCCTACGTGAACAAGTCGTCGGAAGCTATTTGTTGACATAGCATTAGCGACCTGGGTCTTGCGAAATTTATTTGCGGTTTCTACAGCGTGGCACTCATGCAAGTAGCTATCAACCCCCAGATTCTTTATTTTTCCCTAGGTGGCTTTCTCTATCGTGTATCGTATTGGGGTCAATTAGGTCTGTATCTTTTTCTTTTGCGATCGTCTAGCAATATTCTCCTTATGTTCTTGTAATATAGAGCTGTACATTGACTATGCATATTAAGATACATTCGGGTTTGCGTTTTTAGCAACTGTACATGAACGATTGCTTAATATAGCCGGGTATAGTTTTAATTCAGTTGTACCAAAGTACACCCATTTTTATTTGCTTATATATGATAATATGCACTTGACGCGTGTTTTGTGAGAGGGACAAAATATTAAACCGTTTGGTTGAATCTTTGACCTAAGTTTTTAAGTCTGTAATGTAAATACTCATAAGGCACACGCAAAATTATTTGTACAACACTACTCTTTAGATTAGAGCCATTTCAGTTCTACTCTCTCCCTGTTTATTCGTTCCGACAGAAAAAGGGGAATATACTAAAAAAAAATGCCCTAGTCAATTGAAAATGAGAGCAAATGGTGCTTCATCTCTTTGTCTAGTTGGTGACAGCATGTGGTGCCATGACATGTTTGAAGGCACACCGAAAAGTGACTGAAAGGATAACTCAGTTCGGTAGATTTTTATCCTCGGAGTACAGGCATCTGCGGAGTCACCTTGTGGATAGAAAGCAATTTTGCCTTATATAGATTTGGGTATTTCAAATTTATTTGCTCTATATGTAGATTGTGTACTTCCACGTCTTGCAATAAATTGTTCTGAATACATTGTATAAGAAATACGGTGCTAAAAGAAATATATCGATTTTTCATTGATGATTTCTGCTTACTGACGTGCCCCTAATGTTGTGTTTAACCTCGTTATGTATTGTTAGACGATGAACTAGTGAGTAAATAGTGCGGCTCTGGACCGATCAGAAAGCCATGGATAACTACAACTCAGGCAGGGTCAGTTATTAATATCTACAAAAGTTAGCTCTGATGTTGCATCACATCCATTTTACATGTGTGCTTGTGAACTGATATATGCTCGTCTCTACCTATTCTTAGTTTCCGCCAACGCCTCATCATTCTCGGATGGTTTGTGTTTTACTGATACGTGACCGTTACTCATAAATCCGATTGTTCTTCGCACTACGCTTCAACGGTAACAGCCAACGGTAAGTTATTCGTACATCCTCTGGTGTCAATCGCTCACCCTTGCGGTTCAACTAACCTATTTCGACTGGTTCTCTATAAACAGAGGCGTATGAGCTGCGTTCCGGTTCGAGCGCAACCCAACTTGCAAACGCTTTCAAACAGCTCTTGACCGAGGTCTTGCGTACCATTGCTGCCAACGTTGATATATTTCTAGGACGTTTTCTACAACTTCAAACAGCGTTCTCCTGTATTTTTTTTTTTATCTTTCTTCATTTTTAGCCTTTCCTTGTTATCCAGCGTTCCTCAATTTCTCGTAAACCTCTTTTTCCCCAAGGCTTTTACCACAGTCTGCAAAGAGTAAACGAAAGTATGAGTCGCCTTTTAGTAAAGCTCATCCAAACTGGTACGAATAAGCTTAAAGTAGCTTATTCAAGCCCTACTATGCCGTTGGCAAATCTAAATATAGTTCAGGTCATTTTCGTGAGTCGATATCTGCCCAGAAAGCACACACTGAGGTCGCAAACTAGCTCTAGTCCCGGTTTTTTAACGTAGACCTGCGTCGTTAGCGAAACTTGGGCTTTCTCCAATTCTTCGTGCTTCATTTCGCCTTCCCTGAAAGTCGGTGACGGGGGAAGGGAGCGTTGCCAGCGTCACTTCCAGCTTTTGTAGTAACCAACAGCAATAGCACGTTGTTCCACGGGCACAGTTTATGTCTAGATTGGTAACGGCAGGCAGACGGCTGTCGCACTCGCCGCTAGAATTGCAAAGGGGCGGCAGCGCACTGCTGAAGGCAGCGGTACCCACACGGGCTACGATACCACCGAATTCTCGCAAGGCCCACCCCAATCTGCCTAGTAAGCAACACGAGACAGGGCCCGCTTTCGTAGCATACGACCTGTGCTTCCATCTTTTCTTTCCTCCACGATCCGACTCTTCGATCTAAACCAACGTAGTTGTAACTACTTCGTATAATTTTAAAAATGGCTGCGTCACTCCGCGAGTATGAGCGCACCTGCATACCTAAAGAAGTATTTCGAGTATTAGGATCTGAAGGTTCAACATGAATACTACATGCCAATTCTAGAAAATTTAAATCAACAAGTACCTCTATCTTGTATTCAAAATTCATATAATGATTTCTTAAGGCATTTTTGCGAACAGGTTCACTAATTCACTTCTACCTGACATCAAGCTCCGCTGGCGTATGAACAGTATACCGGCATAATTCGGAGTTGCTTCATTTCACAGCTTCACTCGAACTACCACGCAAAACAAAATATGAGGTACTTATAGAAAACATTAAAATTTCAAGAAAAATACTTAGAAGTAGTGAAGGTGTAAATCATAAGCAAGCATTTAAGAAGTAGGCGATCGATATGGGATCGCTAAAACAAATGCTGTCTACGTAGAGGCGATGCAACGAAAAAAAATCGCTCAGCTATACTGACTAATGCCCTAAGGCAAAACATCGAGCGCGTTTACAATGATTTTGCTACTGTCTAATAATAACAATTAATGAAAACAGTAATAAAATAACATTATGAAGAATATCCGTTGGACAGTGCAAGATCTTTAATGATAGCCTATTTTCCAATTCTAATCAGTACGGTGACGTCGTCACCAAAAACTCGAACAGAGATCATGGCGTTTGACTGGTAGTAAATAATCAAAAGCTGTCATATAGTTGCCATCAAGGACACTCCAAACCAGTAGAAAGTTCCGCTAGAAAATCTAAAGCGGGATGATCGTGTGAATGAGAACAGCAGAGCCAATACTATCAGAAACCTCAACTACGTACGCCTTAATCTCCAAATATATATATATATATATATATATATAGTCGATTTCAATAAGATTGTAATTCTTAAGTAAAAACAGCCAGAGACAGTATGTAAGGAAAGATTTAGTGCTGAAAAAATCACTATATGCCGATAGCAGTTTCATGGTTCGCAACATTCAGTGGCAACGGTGGGATTGCGCCCGAAAGACAAATTAAGAAGGATGGACAACTGTGATCAACGTCAGTTGCGATGAGACAACGCGTCGACCAGGCTGAGGTAAACGTCTGGATGAGTGTGAAGATAATGTTGAATGGGGACGTCGTTCGCGCCTCATTTAAGTCTCTCACCGCCCGCCTCTCAGAAGATATCACAAAGGCTATTCACCGCCGATTTTTTTTGCCCGACCTGCCACTCTTGTATAATGCCGCGCCCTGTATATGGATTCTTCAATTGGAATCTGTTGCGACACCCAAAGCTGGCCGCTCTATTACCTTTAGACAGAGGTCCTCAATTTACTTCCCGAATCAACCTTGCTACAGTTTAATACAGTCACGGTCAGGCAACGTTCGTAGCATCAGTAAGAGAGCGTTTTAAGGTACAGTTGTTTCTGAGGTTGCTGCCACGGATCATTCGGGGTACTGTACCCAAAAAGACGGCACGGAAAAACGTATAAACCTTCATCCAGTAAAAGCGCATTCTGGTGGATTGGCTGACGCGGTTCTAAGGACTATTGGAGAGACGTTAAGGAAACGCGTCTGAGAGAGAAAGATCGCCGGAACCGCTCGAACGAATCTTTAGGTGCATATAGTGCCTTCGAAATGTTAATGGTCGAATACCCCGAACGTACCACAAGGTTCTGTACATGCGGGTAATGAGAATACCTTAGGCGCTTTATTAACGGCTCACTTACGCCCAAACGGAAGTTGCGTCAATAAAGCCGCCGATTAGCCGTTCTTTTGAATCAACTTTTCTTGCGGAAAGTTGACTGTTTCGCTGAATTCGGACGCGTATGTAAATGAAATTTCTTCGCGTTCATTGGACATGCTTTACTCAAGTGAAATTTAAGTGTCGGTAGTGTATCATTTACACGACACCCAGCGCGCTCCTACAATATTGTTAGGTTTGGTTAACATATCTATCGACGATGCGCCAGGGGAGATATTCTTTATCGTATTAAACTAGGTCTGGAAATCCACTTCTTTTAAAAGGAATCAAATTTATAAAGGTGCAGCCATTGATAGATATGTTCCACTAATAGGAAAAGCACTGTAGGCGATGGCCCAGACGATTTTTCCGAACATTGTACTAAGCTCTACTACTATTCTCTGAAGTATGCGCATGCGTCTCGCGCAGCGTCATGAGCACATATTAGGTGCTGGTCGTGAATTTTTAAAACTATCCCATCGGGATAAAAGCCCACATTAAAATAAACTAATTCACGGAGCTCCTTAATATTTGCGAGATTGGGAACTGCAAACAGAGTCTTTTCTTCTACGCCGACATGGCTTGATCCTTTTGAGTAGGGGCGGGGCTGACGGTTAACTTTTTGAGTAGCTATATAGGGTCACTCACACCGATTTTGTCAAGCATATGAACCCAACGAGTCACTCGGCGTCGACCCGTTACGCCTTTCAAGCAGCACGTAGCAGCCGACTCCAATTCATCTTGCACAGCCGCGCTGTCGACTTCTCGTCCAGATGATGGTCCTCCTTTCTTTCCCGTAGCGTTTATGATAACGAAAAACGGAACAGTTAGTTCCTGTGTTGATTACTGTTAGCTGAATAGCTTTACGAACTGAGAAATATATCCGCTGCCAAGGACTAACGATGCACACGGCGTTCGAACAGAATAAGGTACTCTGCATGTCTGGCCGTCATTACCAGTTCGCGCGTTACCAAACGCACGCCATTGGTCATGTAGACGCACCCACGACATTTCAGAGGTTGATGGAAGGGGCTGTTAGGGTGCTGCCATACCGATGGCCCTCGACCATCTCACAATATCATAATTTATTTGCCCGATATGCATGTGTGGGAGATACTGGCAGTCATTGTTACGCAACTCGATCGTAGGAAGCGAAGTAGAGCTCTTTTGAGATTTAGGCAATGATGTAGTTGGGTTGTGGGAACACGGCCGACGGGATTTTGCGACGCTTTGAAAAAATCCGGTCAGTGAAAGCCCATCTAGCCTCGATCCCTGCTATGAGTTCAAGCGCATTTCGAGTTCCGCCTCCTACGATCGACGCTTTATACGGGGTTGTGGTTTCAGCTCGGGTCGTCAGTTTATGTTACGCCGTAACCCACACGAGATATTTCCGAGGGATGCCGTTCACGACAAAAAAAGCTGCTAAAAAGCAAAGGCCTGTACCGCTTTTATGTAACTGAAGATGAGGCTGCATACGAACGTTGGTAGAACCGATGCAAAGTGGTGCTTGCTTGAATGGGAAAAAGCCGCGTACATGTACACCTTACCGACGCCAAGACTAAGTTTCATGCCTCCGAAAACGAGCACTTGACGGCAGTAGTACAGTAACGGTACGACGATCTGGATTTAGATAAGGCTCTGAGAGCGTGGAGAAGAAATCCTCGCTTGCGCACGCTAATCGCGAAATTGGAAAGAATGGTTCGCATCTGGTGCTCACTTGTGGCCTAAAGTATCGGGTCACGGGGAAGACGAATGTGCTTTACGTCCGTATACCCAAGGCGGAAGAAGCAAATACTCCGGATTACTCGAAGAAGATAGCTGGGTACATCGGCCTTTAGTAACCTTTTAAGACTTGTAGGAGTACGTTTTTGTTCGGGAATGGGCTGAAATTGCAAGATATCGT